GTGCCAATCACTTCTGTTCCGTTAAAAACTACACAGCCTGAAAGAATTCCAACGGCAGTGTGCAATGTGATGTAACATCACTTTTTGTCAAGTGCTACACATCATAATAACTTTTTTTGGGTGTGAGTATTGATCGTTATTCATTCACATCCTCAAAAGTAAAATGATGCATAAATGAAAATAAATAATAAAACCAGTTATATCGTATTGAGGGTGTGGGTGTGGGTGTGGGTGTGTGTGGGTGTGAGTCGGTGGGTGTCAAGATAAGAATCACAGTCGTCCACTCCATTACCATCTACATTGTCAACTATTAACTGATTGTAATTGAAAAAATATTCATAAAGATTGATTATACTCAATTAAAATATCGAAAGCTGATAGAAGCTTGCATCATATTCAATCGATTTTCATTTTTGATACATTTTTAAAAAATCACAAATACTGGTTATTTCAAGAATCAATCAAAACCGTATGCTTGTGAGCAGTTAGTAATACGGACATGTGTTGACAATCCAATTATGCAGTCGACATTTTTACATGAGTACGTCTTTGCATTTTTTTTATGCAGAAAGAACAGAAGAGAATGTTCTCTATAGAGATAAAAACCAACATACAGAATAGAAGAAAAAAGTATGTGCTGCCATATGAAACATTATAACTGTGTAATATCGATGAAAAATAAACGGGTGGTTTTTACCCACATATACAGAATAGAAGAAAAAAGTATGTACTGCCATGTAAAACATCATCAATGTATAATACCTTCTGATAACAAGCGATTGGTTCTTGCCCACATAAGAGAAAAGGAAACAAAGAAAAGAAAAAACCAACGTGTCTTGAGTTATATTTTTCCTACAACTTCCCACACAAGATTGAAATTACGTCGTTGAAGAAAAAAAGAAAATAAACTGATAAAGAAACTCATATAAAAACACTTACCAAATAATCAGATTGCTATCACATTTTGTTATTAATAATTTATTTAAATCATACAAGTTAATAGTAAGTATCTCTCCGTTAAAAAATCTGGAGGATGGCGCTTTGATATTCATGAATGATTTTTTTAATTTAGAAACTTTAAAATACCGTTCTGATAAAAATGGGCCAAGTGGAAGGACGACCAGACGCTGAACAACGTGGCACAGCAGCTCAAAATTCGTCGATAGGATGATCTTAACAATAGAACAAAGCTTAATAGTAGCGAAAGAAAGACGGTCAACGGAGTTATCCATAGTTCAGACTTAAAACATACACCGAAACTCGACAAGCCATTAAATCAATTGGCTGCAAAACATCCCGATGCATTTCCTAAGTGAAACACATTTACTTCATCAAACTGTTCTGTAATCTCAAATAGAGCAAGTCATGAATTTTATACCAAACGAAAGCTCATTAAAAATAGAATTTATTGATAATGAATCATAAGACTCGAAGTTTAAAGAATTTTGCATAGTCTTCCTTTACTTTTCGTTTTTTCATCTTTGTGCCATGTTAAACATGATATTATCGATTAGATTTATAAAGGATATCTAATGGCGTTTTTTATTATAAAATGAATAAATATATACATTTCGTTTTGCTTGTATAATCATTTGAAATAAGGAAAAGATCAATCGATTATTTGAGGGATGGGTGTCTCTTCTTCATCCTTAATCACACCCATATCCTCGTACTTCGCCTATTGTTTCTTGGATCCTCTTAATGACATCTCTTTTCATTTGTTAGTTCGTTCGATACGTAGATGATAAAAGTTACAATAAAACATGACTGACACAATAGCTATATTTCTCGATGGCGGACGATATATCCGTCGTCCGCTAAATTCATTGTATTAATTTATCATGGACAAAGTTGTTCGATCAAAAAGCATCGTTTTATATTAATTTAAAAAATATGGATCAAGCAGTACTATCAACAACTTTTGTCAATGATAGGAACATTAAAAGACAAAAACTAGAAGGTAAATGACATCTCATACTTCTTAATACATATTTTAACTTTCTTTGTTTTTAATGGAAACAACTAATAACAGTATAAATCGGTTTGTAAAATAACAGATTATTTCTTTTTATTATTTTTCTCTATTAGTTTATTGATAACTCATTTTGAAGATCTTTCTAATGAACTTATCTATCAAATATTTGAATTACTGGATTCTTATGATGTCTATATTATTTTCTCTAATCTGAATTTGCGAATTGAAAATCTTCTTACTAATTCTAATCTTCGAATAAATCTAGATCTTTCATCAATATCAAAATCAAATTTTCAACATTATTATAAAGAAATTATTATTCCTCATCAACTTCAAATTAATTCGATTCGTTTAACAAATTTATTTATCTATAATCATCCCTTTTCACCACTTCGAAGATTAACAAGCCTTTGTAAACTTGAAAAACTTATTATTCATAATATTCAATTGAATTATCTTGAGGAACTTTTAATTTCTTTACGTGTTTTACCAAAACTTTACTCATTAGATATTGAACCTATTGATGACATAACGAATCCATCGCATATTTATGATCGAATATTTCGTTTACCTGTCTTAAAATATTGTCAAATCTCTTTTAAAATAAAATCAAATGCTATTTTATTACTTGAAACAACCAATGAATACAGTTCTATTGAACATCTTATTATTAAAAATGATATTTCCTTTTACCACCTCGACACATTATTATCATTTATTCCTCATCTTCGTTATTTATCATGTTTAAATATCTTTCGATTAAAAGATAATCCAACAAATATTCGACCGATTATATTAAATAAATTAAGTCATATTTTATTTCAAATGAGACATACAACTTTTGATCAATTTAAACAATGGATTACAAATCTTTCTCATCGAATTGAAGTCTTATGTATTTCAACAAAATATGATATGAAATATTTAGATGCCAATCAATGGGAACAATTAATTATAAATCATATACCATATTTAAGAATTTTTGATATTCAATATACTTATACTGTCCATAAAGACAATCAAATCATGGCGTGTAATTCAGCTGAAATAGAACAATTCAATTCTTCATTTTGGATTGAACGTCAATGGTCATTTGAACATTTACATGGATGGACAAAGAATTGGGATAATAGAATTTTCTATTCAACTAATCCATATAGGTAAAATTAGATTAATTATTTTGATATTACTCATGTATTATTCTTATTTTTAAGAAGAAAATATTTTACATTATATGGAGAAACTGGTCAATTAGAGAAAAAAATTCATTTAAATACAGTTCTTCATGTTCATATTCGAAGTCTACAAGCAATAATCAATTGTATTTATTATTTTCCAAGTGTTACAAAAATTACATTTGAACATATATTTGATATATCACAGGATTCAATTGCTACCAGTCTGAATTGTATAATTCCATTGAAACAAATAACAAAATTAGTTATTAATTGTCATTGTTTTTCTTTCGAACAAATTATTCAAATCTTATGTTTAACATCTAATCTTTGTATAATGATACTTAAATCTATTTACCTTTCTATACCAGATTATTGGTCTCTTCAACAGAATGAAAATTTTCAAAGCGTTTCGAAAACAAATGGGATAACAAATATAACAATTGAAGAAAAATGTAAATTAATAGACACTCGTTTACTTGTGGCTTTATGTCCTCGATTGGAACATTTAACAATTTGTATTCCGACTGATGTTTTTCAATTAACTATACGATTTTTATTGTCAAAAACTAATGAAAATATTCGTCGATTGTTTTCATTATGTCTTACACATGTGTCTAAAAGTTTAGTTAAGACATTGAAAACCTTTATTGATTCAGAAAAATTGCTGGATAATTATTTCTTAGAGTTTTTTGAAGATAAATTGTATTTATACTGGTAATTAGTTTTATTTGTTGAAGACGAGATATATTCAAATAAATATCAAAGTAAATCTTGAATGATCGATAATCTTGAGGGTGTGGGTGTGAATGTGGATGCGAGTGTGGGTGTAGGTGAGGAGGGTGTGGTTGTGGGTGAAGGTGAGGAGGGTGTGTTTGTGGGTGAAGGTGAGGAGGGTGTGTTTGTGGGTACAAGTGAGGAGGGTGTGGGTGTGGGTAGTGGGTGGGTGAGGGTATGGGATGGCTCGGGCCAATGAAGCTAAAAAACTCGCACCCACACCCATCCTCAAGATGATTTAGGGAATCACAATTTACGGTAAATGATAAACATCCTGGATCATGTATAAATTTATTATATTATCATACTAAGAATCTAGAAGAAAAATATTCACCTTTATCATCACCTACCATCTCTTATCATAAACGTACTTTGACCATATAAAAATAGTTTTACTGATGAATTGTCCATGACTCAAAAACTCCTGACTACGCCACTATTTGCACGTATTAAGAACCAATTAAAATATTTTGTTAATTGTATAACATAGATTTATGAATGATATAATCTTTTAATCTATTGTTTTCAATTATATTGATTAGTATAGAAATTACAAATTAATGGACAACTTATTTGTTTTCTTTCTTTTCATTGATATAAATGAATTGATTAAAGTTATCATAAAATAGTATATTTCAATGCATATATAAATACATGTAACTCATTTCTTCATCAGCTAGTACCCCTATATCAATAATATCTAATTTAATTTTACTTTTGAAATTTTTAATTAGACAACAGTTTGAATATGGATCTTTGTGATTTGTTGAAATTCTTGCAGTATTTTAAGTCCTTTGGTAATCATCTTAGTCGATAAGAAATAAATTATGACTGTTGTATTGACGATATTATTACTAAACTTATCAAGCCATTTATTTTATTACATTGGATGTGAATTTTCGTTTTATAATCTACTCTCCTAATCGTTTTTTCTTACTTCTATTCTCAATAGCTTTATGGTTACAAAAAATTATAGATGCATATATGAGCATGATAAAATAAAAAGCTGAATAATTCAAGTGAAAGATTTTACAATCGATAGATAAAAGATAAAGATATAAAAAGAGTAAAATACAGAATTCATTCTTTATTTCACTACTATACGGCAACACAGGCAATCTACGTAAGTTACTCATTTTAGATATTGAAAGTTCATCGATCGATATTTCTATGTATTCATATATATATATATATATATATATATATATGATTGTGTTTAGGAAATATTTTCATTCCTCTTATAACGCTTTCCCTTATCAGTATTTAGAGGATATAAATTATATTTATTATATGTTAGATAGGATAAAATTTCACCTTCGTAGTTTATGATTTTGAAAGTATTGTGCTACTAAAATGAAAAAAAAGAGCATGACCAGTTGTATTTCATATGCATTTTATCAAAGCGATGAATGTTTCTGTCAGTGTTAGTGAGTATATCAGCGTGCGACTTCTCAATACCCACACTAACAAAATGCACATCCTCCTCTAGTTATTACAGAAAAGCAGCTGCTTATGCAATCAATAGTTAATCTTATTTTCCTGTCGATGACTGTATTAACTCAGATGAAATGGAATATGACCAAGAATATGCGCACTGCCCTAGTAACTTCCTTATGAGCTATCAAAGATGTGCCAGAATATAGAACGACAAAATAAGCCTTTTCTCTTTTCTTCTAATACAAGTAACGCGTCGGTCCCTTGGACTTCGCTCGACTCAATCCTGGAAGAAACCCGAGATGTACTGTAAAAACGACAACGTTAGACCACTAAACATATGACATATAGGGAGATTTAGCAACTGAAGAAAGCTTTTATAGGGCACTATTCAGGTCGTATTGTTGCGCTTTGTTTTCGGTGAATAAAAAAGACGTTCACGACACAAGAAAATTCACCTCCTCGATCATACAAAATTTCTTCCACAAACAGCAATGAGAAACCCATGTCACGAAGCTTCCGCAAGTTGATTGATCCTCTTCCCATTGCTATAACTCCTCCCACACCTACACCTACACCTACACCCTCAAGATGACCTTTTAAAAAAAATGATTGGATATATTTGCTATTTGGAGTAAAACTTCTTCGTCAATAATAAATATTATCTTATTATTATTATTTTAAACAGTAAAATTATATATTCTTCATTTATTTGATTATTCAGTAACTTATATCTGTCTAGAATGGCGACATCAGGGAATGAGGGAAATAATGAGAAAATACCATTTCCTGATATTGCATTGTTAGATAAATCAAAGAGTTTTCACTCAAGTGTCGAAGGTAAGATATGGATTCGCTTGTCAATTAATTTATGCTGGTGGCTTCATGATATGTACCAAATTGAAGAAAATGATACAAATGCAAAATTGAAGTATATCGAAAATAAACTCGCTCAATGTAAATCTTTGTTTCCTGTACGATTTGCATTGATGTTCTCCGATCCTAAATCTATGCCGAGTGAACAACACCCATTTTTGATCTGTCGTCAAGATGAGCATAAAACAGTTTTATTAGTATTTCGTGCAACTGTTTCATCAAAATCTATTCAAGATGTATTTACCGATCTGCAGTTTTATGCGAATCGAGAAGTGTATGAAGGCAACAGACATTCGGGGTTTGCTAAACGTGCTGAATCAGGTCCATTATTGGCAGTTGTCAATTGGTTACGACAAGGATGGAAAGTGATTGTTACTGGACATTCTCTAGGCGGTGCAGTAAGCCAACTATTTACTGCTCAAGTCATCAAATCTCTTACTGAAATTGGTTTAACAGTTGATCAGGTTGTATTACGCTGTATCGCCTTCGGTATACCACAATGCGCTGATCACAACTTCTGGGTCAGCTATACCACATGGTATGATATTTTTGATAGTTACATTTATGAAAACGACGCAATTTTTCGTTTGGTGACGTTCGGAGCTGATCAAACAAGAAATATAGTTGACGCATTTGTTAGATACATTGGTAAAATCAAAAGAACTATTAAATACATGATTGATGATCCACTACCAGGCGTTGTCGGTTATGCTGACGATCAGATTGAAAATATCATTAGCGACGCTCTGATTCCAACATATTCCGTGTTTGGACGTCATCATTTTATTATTAAAAATCATCAAGGAGAACTGAATATTATTTCATTAGGTGAAACACCGGACGACAAAGCAACATTTTTAGAGAATTTGACAAGCGGAAGAAATCATTGGTATACATTTTTCAGTGAAAAAGATTTAGCTCCTGCTGGACCATTTAAATTTGTCTATCGAGAATTTTTGGATCACGGTTGTTATCCGTTTGCTATAAATCAGTTATTTAACGCAGAAGCTACTCGACGATTAGGCGATGCTAACTTCTCAACACAAAAGCTATTGCGATCACCACTTGACCATACTTCCTCGAAATCAGTCTTTAATCTATCTGCGTTCATTTATTCACAAAACGAGGATTTTTCATATCCTCACTATATTTATTTACAAGGCTTTTTAGTCGACTTCATTCGTTTTGTGATATTACCAGTTGAGCTGGCAAAATCTGAGAAAGACCGAAAACAAGATGTAGTCATGACACAAGAACAATCTGATGGACGTGGTGCTTTATACTTTAAATCATCGCAATCAACAGAATTTATCAAGCATCATTCAACCTTTTTCGTTGAGGTTACAACGTACTTCGGTTCATGTTTTACTCGAGTTGCTGTTCTGTCAGATATTACCAATTCAATGTTTCCAAATGTTTACGATCTCGATCCGGTATCAACGGTGTTACGAGGTTATCATGAATTAGTTTTAGATGCCAGTTCGGCTGAACAATACAATGAATCGGCATTATCACGAAGCTTTTCAATTCTATTCGATTCATTTAAACATATTTATTACGATGAAGGCGATAAAATATTCGCAAGATATTTAGCCGAAATTCAAAGCGTAAATTATGTGAATGATATAGAAACATATTTGGACGATAATAAAATACCACAGTCAGAAGAAGCCGTTTATGAATATTTTGAAAATGAATTAAAGTTGTTGAAAAATGTATCGGAAGATTCACTACATACTTCGGATGAAATACGTGAAAAGGCTAAAAATCTACATCAAGTATTATTGAACACATTAACGTTACACCTTTATGTGAAACAAAAACAAACCCTACCGCCTGAAGCGCTGCAAGGTGATGCAGATTCTACTGTCAATATAGAGTTGCGCCAAGCTCTCTTAGATCTATCACATATAAACGTGACATCGATTAGTAACTCAGACAAAGTTAGTATACAACTGGAACAGTTGTATTTAGAATTTACTGAACTTCGAGGATATCTGCGTCAATTGCATAATCGTCGAGAAATTAATTTTATTCAAAGCATTTTCAAGTCTGTAATGGCACCATTTTTTTTTCTTAAAATTAAACTGAATCACTTAGTTGTTGTTTTCAGAAATCATTCGTGGATAAAACAAACCGTACTAATAGTACAAAATTATATTATGAACCGAATTAATAATCCCTTATGGGAGCGTAGATACTTGGTATGGTTTTCAAGCAAAAAATTTCTTAATCAGATAAGAAAAACATTGCTTGAAATTTCAGTATCCTTATTATTATCAATTGGTGAACGGATAGAAGCGACCGAGGATGATTGGCAAATTTTGTTCAGGCTAGAGGCATGTGATCGATTACATAAAATGACGACGGTTAAAAATGAGAAAGAACGAAATGATCTGTGGAATCAAACATTTACAAAAGAACCATTAAAAGATGTACCCAATGAGCATCGTTGGAATTGGATCGGGCTACTACAACTCTGTTATCAAATAGTTTCAACGCGCAAAATTTTAATTCGAAAGCCACCGAAAGTTGTTCTCTCTGGCCAATCACAAACAGGAAAATCGACTTTATTTAAATATTTAACCGGGAGGAATTTAGAGGAACTACGAAACATCGACGCATTCAATACTCGAATGGCACTTCAGTGTCCTGCTTTTATTAAATTTAACAATGATGAAAACAAAAATGATGAATCAGGTTTAGTTATTGATGTTGTCGACAATCCTGGCCAAAATGATGCTACGGGGCAGGCAGAAAATATGTTAGACATGACATTGCATTCAGCTAGTCTATTTATTGTGGTAACAACAGTCGTAGATATTAATCAACGACATAGTATTGAATTTATCAATAAACTTTTAAAAGCTACAAAAGTCAACATTCTTATTTTAATAAATCAAGTTGATGTTCGTTTATTTGAGGAATGGGAAAATTGGAAAGAGAAAAGTTTAAACAACGATGAATCAGAAGACGATGATTGGGAACACATGGGGAAAGCTACTATTCATACCGCATCGGAATCAATATCCAATTTTAGTGCGTTAACAACTATTAGAAAATTGATTGAACGTCCAATAAACGAATTGAAAAGTCAACTTACAAATGATCAAAAAGAAATAGATAATCGTGTTACGATTATACCTACTATTTTAAAAGATTTTCGTAAATCTGATGCGAGATTTAACGATTTACAAAGCTTCGCAGAACGTGAAAAAGACTTTCGTCCTGAATTATCAAAATCAAATGTGACAAAATGGATAGTTGATAAACTTACTAAATGATTCATATAAAACTTTTCTTTTTATCGATAATACTTTATTCAAGAAACTGTCTTATTATTAATTATTTAATATTTTGAACAACCATTTTGCTTATTAGTAGGGGTGGGATAGTTCCAGAGCGTGGGTATGGGTGTTTCTTGTTCTACCTCAGATCAGACCCACACTCACTCTATGTACTATTGAGAAATTTGTAGAAAACCCATGTAATCACGGAAGGGTGTGGGTGTGAGTTAATAAGAAAGACACCCACACCCACATCCTATCATAAATAAAACCCCAGTTGGTAGACGATCTAATCATGTTGAAAACTCAATGCTTGTTGTAATCGTATTGGAAATTTTGTCAAGTAAAAGTGTCGATATAATGATAACAAAGTTGTTATCTTAACTCTTGAATATTACATGTAAAAATATAGGAGAATTGACACTACCAATGAAAAGATCAAATCATCGAAATCTAATAATTGAAAGAATATTGTTCTATGTATTCAAATTTATTGTCGATAAATATAAGTAATTTTAATAACGTTTCTTTGTAATTAAGTCATGACTGAAGAAAAGATATGTATGAATGATATCACTACGTGATATGGAATCGAATATGAGGATAATAATTTCAATAGGTAAATCTAACGACAAGCAACATAGAGACTTCGCTCATGAAGTCTCATTGAATTGGTGAAGCCTAAGAGGGGGAAAGCAAGAGTTTTGTACTTCACGACTGACTACTAAAAATTTGATAACTAGTTATTTTTATTTATTAAGATAAGAAATTGAGAAAATACATCAGTTTAGATGGAAGCAATTGAAATTATTTCCACTCTACAAAAATTTTCTCTTCAATACGTTTTATCTTAAAATCAACAAGTAAATTTTCAACTTGAATCATTTGTTTTAATTTTAATATCATCGTATCATTGGCTGTTGGTAACTGAATACATATTAATCGAAGATTTTGAAATTTTGATCTATTTCTAATTTGAATTAACAATGATCGAAGAAATAATTCAACATTTATCTCAGGTAATTCATTAATTTCAAGTAGTTTAATTAATGGACAAAATGCAAGAAAAAAATTAATTTCTTCAATTTTATTAATTTTTCTAACACGAAATTTTGTAATTTTAATATGAGTTGTTGAACGAAAGATTTCCATCACTTCATCTAATGTTACTTGTCTTGGATATAAAAATGATATCATAGAAACGTCTAATGAATCAAGTTCACGTAATAAACATAAAATTTCAGCTAACTTATCAACAAATATTTTTTGTTGAATAACCAAATGATCAATTTGCATAACCGATAGAACGTATTTTATATAATTATGAATATTATTTAATGTTTTTGGAGATATATCGTCAATAATAAGTTGTCTAGATTTCGATAATTCTTCAAAAGAATATATTTTCTGCTCTTGTCTATCATATTCAAACCATTGTTTTCTAAATAAATGAATATAGATTATTTTTTTTCATGTTTTCTTTTCACATACTTATATGCATCAATGATACAAATTATGAAATCACATTTTATTTCAATTTTCAATAGCCATTGTCGTTGAAGCCAAAATGATGTCAAAAATTCATTTGGTTCGTCTGAATGTAATGGTGGTTGATCATCATTCCGAAAGCGGACGAGATATTTCATGGAAAAGTGTTCTAATTGTGGTAAATTTTGTAAAATAATTCTTTCCCATCGATAAGCATTTAAATAATTTTTATTTCTCGACCAGATTTCCAATGAAAGTGTTTTTAAATGGAATTTGAATTGATTAATAAGATTTTCAAATCTATCAAATTTCATTGAACGTACTTTGATCGAAAGAGATGTTAAATGTCGCAAGTGATTTAGAGAGAGAAGATTTAAAGGTGTTTTCTTGTTACCGTAAATGGAAAAGTTCAACTGTTGTACTTTTGGTGTATAAGATAGAAAACTAGCAAGTTCTTCTATAGAACAAGAATGTTTAATAATTAAATGTTCAATTGAAGATAATTGTTCATGTGTAGCAATTGGTAAAGAATGATCGGCAAATACATCTATGTAACATGTTTCTATTTTGAAATATTTTAATTTTGATAAATTTAAAACTAACGGATAGATTTTACATATGTGTAACTTATACATATTTTCAATTGTTAATGAATATAATTTAGGTAGTTGAGTTAATTTAGGAAGAATCATTAGAATTATATTTGGTTGGTCAATATTAAAAATAAGACATTGAAGATTTTGATACGATGAATCGAAATTACATAAAGAAATTATTTCCGTAGTAGGTCTGCATGTCTGAATAGAGATTGAGAAAATATAATTTTTTATAACATGTGATATTTGTTGTAATTCGTCCACTGTATTTTGTTTCATAGGTCGATCATCAATTCGAATTTTATATTGAAGAAATGGGCAATGAATTAATTGTTGAAAACGAGAATTAAGTATTGAAAACGCTATATATATATCATAACCATAAAGATACTCAAAGATTTCATAAAATATTTCATTAGAGAAATCTTCAATTGTTGTTATTGTTGACATATTTAAATGAAAAGCAAATCTATGCACTATAGTTGAAGTTCAACCTTTGACCGCGAAATTTCAGTTTCGACGGGTCATATTATATGCGTATGTTATAGATCAATCTAATATGCAAACTTAGACTAGTCCAATTATGTATTGTCAATAAAAACTTAAGTATCTTTTTATGGAACATTCTGGTGGATAATGTATCGCTTAATTCATTGCTAAAATGGAAATGAAAAGAAGAATATTTGTTTTTTGACAATTTAAAAAATCTTGATTTTGATTTGAAATAAAACATTTATACTGAGATTTTTTTCAAACTTTTATTTAAATAATTAATGTAGGAAAAATAAATGAAATCTTCATTTAGTTGCTAAAAAAAACTTTTTATCCACAGTAGAAGCATATTCGAGTATTATTCCGTTTTCTGAAAGAAAGGGTTATAGACTGAATAAAAATGCTCAAAGTTTGTTTGTTCAAGATAATCAGGTTTCAACATTTTATAAATCAATGAAAACTTATCGATGATCATCAGAGAATGATTGATCAAGGTCGAACAACTCGATTCTGATATTAGTTTTTCAAATTGATAATAAAAACATAAATAATAGTATTCATATTGTTCAAGCTATTAATAAATAATTTATCGATACTAGAATTAAATCAAATTCAAATATCTGTTAAAGTTGAGAAAACCTAACCGGTGCAGAAGGACATCTTTTATACATTCGAAAAGTATTCTTTTTGAATAGAAAACAACAAAAGATTATATTTTCGATTTTTTTTTTCTTTCCTGTGATACGTTTTTCAATTTCTAAAGGGCATCATGAGGGTTTGGGTTTTTCTGTTAATCATACTTGCATTCTTCCACACCCTCAAGCTTCTCTTTTTTTTTTCATTGAGTAGAATTGTCCTTTGGCTCTTTTTGTTAATATCTAAACATCGTTCATTTCAAGTGAATTATTCATATTTTTGTTAATGTTTTCCTTTTTTTTATTACGTAAGACAATGCAATAGAGGTGTCTTTTGCACAGAGATTATATGCATCCACTTCTCTTTTCAGCTATTATATAGAGTAGTTGCATTTGAAAAGAATTATTCAGAAGTGAAGACTATTAACTTTTCAGGAGATCAAAGTTTGCTGAAGAAAATTTCTATTTTTTTATAGATAAATTAACGAAGAATTATCATGGCAATGTCGAATTCTCAACAGTAAGCGGTAAATTTATCATTTTGAGAAAACAATGATTTCTTTTAGTGATCATTCCTACAACTTGTTGGTTGTTGGTGATAAAGGTGTTGGAAAAACACTTTTTTCAACAGTAGATGGTGTATGTATAGCCGAGACATCTTCTATTCTATAACTATTCAATATTTTCATTTTAGATTCTCAATTCAGAGGAATGGAAAATCGATTATGTTGGTTACAAGGAAGTAAGTTTATTTTAAAAGTTCTAATTTGCAATATAATTTTTTTAGAGAAAAAAAGAAATCAATCTTAATGGTGAACGGATTAAACTCACAATTGTATGTCTTTGATTTTGTTCGGAATTGATAAACTACATGTTTATTTTATGTTTTCCTTCTAGTACGACAGTAGCAGTATAGAAAATCTTCATGGCACCACACGTAATCTTCTATTGTGATTTATTATCAAGAACCTTTTGCATTTTTATATTTAGGAAGTTTTTATAGAGGTGTACAAGGTATTTTTATTATTTTTGACGCAACAAACAAAGTATGATTGTAATGTATTTTGAAACCTTGATTTGAAATGATAATTCCTTTTTTAGGAATCATTTCAAAATTTAAACAAATGGTCGCGTGACATCAGTTATTATGGAGATAAACATGTGACGAAATTGGTTATTGCAAATAAATGTGATTTAGCAGAACAAAAGGTAGTCAATTTCAACAAAGCTACAGTAAAGTATATTTAATAATTAGGAAAAAAAAGAACATTCTACTTTCAATTAGGAGTATTTTATTCGATCAAATATTTCCATGTTCGAAGTTTCTGCACAAGATTCTACTAATGTTGAATTAGCATATAAACATATGATTTTGAAACTTCAATCCAATTTAACATCAAGAATCAATCATCAACCTGATCAGTATAGCAAACAAATTGATTTAGAATTTGTCTATCATATATCTAATATTGATCCAAATGTTGCCGAACAAAATGTAGATAATCAAGGTCTTCATGTTGGTACAGAAAATGAAAACGAGCAGATTTCGATTGAAAAGAAAGCTATGCAATCAAATGTTATTAATCTTTCAAAAACATTCGAAAGTTTTTGTATAGAAAAAGTTAATGAATTAAAATATTTATTAAAGTTATATAATGTCACATTTAACTTAACTATAACAATGTGTTAACAGTTCTTTCATTCTAAAGTTTATTTCTTATTCACAAAAAATAAATAAAACGAAATATATATGAATTCTAGTTTTTATATTAAAGATAAATGTGAATGAAAATGAAGAATAATTTATATGATAACAAGAAAGCATATTTGTAAATTTCATTGATTAGTCTCCATGAATATCTTTCAAAAAGAAAAATGAGACATTTTTTTTATATATAATAAAGGTAAGATGTCTTTTATTTGAGAAATAAATATAATATATTATCAAAATAAGATTAACGTATTTGATCTGACTCGCCATCAGCCATTGTTGCAATAAATCAGAACTTTATCTAAGATATGGTTTTAAAGCTATTTCTTTTTCATTTTTTAATGCTTATATATTTATTATTTCTGTTTTCAAAAATTATGCCTGTGAAAAGCGACACAATCTTATGATCTTAATTTTATACAAAAGATTTAAAGTAGTTCTTAAATTCAACTTTAAATTCCAAGACAAGGAATATGCATCGATTCGTGACTAGGACATCGTAGAGACTTTAATCATAAGATGATCATTCCTAGATAGTGAAAAATCGCTAAACTTTAACGAAGCTAACGATATTTACACTATAAAAAAAGATATTGTGATATATTTTAAATACAAATATAAAAGTATAATACTTTTACTTGCAGTACTTGTCCTAGTTCTGATAGATATAAAGTAAGGTATTATTTAGATCTCTCTCGTATACTTTGAAATAGTTAATAGAAATATTATTTACAATGGTTATTTATATATTTTTTTCTTTCTCAATGCTCTTTAGTCAAAATAATATATAAAACTATGTGTAGGCTGCAGCATCATATGTGGTAAATAGACTTCTGCAATCGGCACTGCATAAAAATTAAAAGCAGAAAAAGAGACCTGCAGCGTGTCACCTAAATAATACAAAATACATTTCTATACAGAAAAAAAAATGCATAGTGATTGTGTTGGTAAATATATTGCAGACGACGTATGGTTTTATAGCTTCGTTTTGCACCCACACTTTCAACATTAGAACTATCGAGAGTGAAATAATATTGTAAATCAAATATAGTTACTTTCCAAATGATATAAAATATGTATGTTGTATTTGGTATACTTCCTTTTTAATTTTGTTTTATATTTATAGTTTACAAAATCAACTGGTTTTTTCCAATATACATTTGTTTGCGTGAGTCATATTATGCATAACATATTTATTAGATAAGTATTGTTTTTGCATCACTATGTGTAACACGTGCTGTCCGTTCTCTTCCTCTATTTTTGCTTTTGATTACATTTGATATTCTTACGATAAAAAAAAATGTGAACGAACGTTTTCATCTACAAATATATCTTATAAGATGCACGAAAAGCAAAAATAAAGTAAGACAATTTCAAGGTGGTCAGGAATTTGTGTGCTTTGTATTTTTTTGAACTTTTTTCTAGGCGAAAATGGGTAGTTTCGCAATTTTCCATAGATAACTCTTTTTTTAATATGTTACGAGATTGAATCTTCTAACTTAGTTTTTCTAATAGAGCATAGAAACTGGATTTAAACCATTTTTAGAAATGTTAGTGTGTGCGAGTGGATTTGGATGATGGTGTTGGTATATTATACCCACACCCTGCGAGTAATGAAAGTTGTAAAATTAGTTTTAGCGATACCGCTCATTGTAACTGGTAGAATTTGTGGATATTGAAAAGTAAATCATAGCTGCAATCAAAAGATTATCAGTGTCATAAACTCTCTTGACGGTGTAGTTGAATGCAAAGCTCACACTTGTAAAAATATTTATTTAAAATACGAAATTAAAACTTATGATATAATATCTTTAAATTAATTAGATACAATTCTTGCAACTCAGAAACAAAACATTTATTGTACAATGAACCTCTCTCACATTACTGACGTCCACATCTCGATAAAAAAGAAGCATTACTGATTACAAATACACGATGTGCGTTTGAAAATTTCGATTCTGTGTAAGAAATATAAAAAGGTAAGATTATATTTAATGCAAACTGCATTGCTATATAAGTTGATAAAACCATCTAAAGTTTAAAATAATTCTAGATTAGTGAACAGCAATATTAAATTGAAATTTGAAGATATCTTTTTCATTTTAGATTATATATTTGAGCCAATAAAACAACTACAAAAAAAAGAATATGACCGATAAAATAAATCCATTGATAACCGATTATATGGATCCATGGACATCTGAACGTGTAAAAAATATTCTACAACCAACAGAAGAAGAATTGATATACTTCGTTAAATTAATGCAACTTCTAAATCAAAAAAGGAAACTATCTGAGAAATTTGATTATAATCCATCAGTGGTGCTTGATGATTTTCTCTATCATGGTACTATAAATCATGCGAGAAATATGAATTTGCTGAGAGATCTCAACATTCGACATATCATTAATACTTGTCATGTACCATTGGAAGAAGAAATTATAAAAACTTTTAATGTATTATGGATCGATATGCAAGATGAAGAAGATGTCAATATCAATCAATATTTTGAGAAAACAAATGATTTTTTACTTTCATGTAAAGAGAAGAAAGAAAAAGTATTAGTTCATTGTCAAATGGGTATTTCTCGATCATCTTCCATTGTTCTCGCTTATCTAATGAAGTAAAATTTATTTTTCTGTTTACAATCGATGAGAAATATTTTCTTCTATTTTAGATATCATCATGATACTTTGATGAAAGCTTACGATTTTTTACTTGATCGTCGTTCTATATCATGTCCAAATCCTAGTTTTCTTATGCAATTGGTTCGATACGAAAAGAAATTACGTAATAGTGAAGAAATTGATTCACAGAAAAATAATGATGATAAACAGAATTCAATCAAAACACTCAATATACCGAACACTTCCAACTTCGAATGGTCGTTCGACTAGTAGAGATAAAAAAAATTTATTATTTAATTCAAAAATAAAATTTCTACGATATTTCGTGCATTTTAATTTCATAAAACAGCAGGAATTATTCTACTAAAGAAATTCAAAAGACGAAATTTCAGATAAAAGGTATATATTATTTTGAACGAAGGAAATATTGTGAGCCAGTACAACTTCAGTACGATGTCAAGGGTGTGTGTGTCTGAGTGTATGTGTCTATCTTCTCTTAACCCACACCCACACCTTAATTATAAATAATTATTATCAATAATTCTCTGTCAAAATCTTCTGCATCTTGCAGATGTTTATGGGCTAAAGTAAATGTATAGGTCATGTTCATCTCACATCCATTCATCCTTAGAAGCATTTTTATAATCGTTATTTCTACTATGAATCGAATTCAACATAAAAACAAAATGTGTGCTAAGCTTATTTTTCTTAAAATATTCTTCAATACACTGATAGTCCTGTTGGAATAGAATTTTTATTTTGTAAAATCAAAAATATATAGATTCATCTATTGTTGTTACTTATCCACGGCAGGTACATCCATAAAGGCATGTACAAACTAAATTAAATACTGATAGACATGCTTCATCACATGGACGTTTTCCTTGAAAGTCTCCTCCGGATCCAATAACATTAGAGCGACAATGATATGCGCAAAGACCAGGATCGAGTGGACAACCATAACCAGCTTCAGCCATATCTAAAATAAATATTCAGCTCGTAACGCAGCGTCGTGGCAACAGACGAATAACTGATGCAAGTGTAGATGTTATCTGCTCTGCTACGCTTCTACGTAATGTTTCTTATCAGTTAAGTGTGCGAAACTGTAGTATATCAGAGGTAGGTAAAGAGAAACTTGAATTGGCAGCTCAACAACGAAGTCTTTTTCCGATGACAAAAAGACATAAATACCATCATGAAAATTCAACTGTAAATGTTTTATGTAGTAATCTAAACAATTTTCTTCATCTATTTATAATAAATAAGCTCGACTGATTTCGAAACAACGTGCCGGACGAGTATAAAGGAAAGGAAAGAAAAAAAAAGTAGTTTATATATATTCAAATTCTTTTCTTTTCTTATATGTAAACAACATGGATTATACGAAACGAAAATTAACTTCGACCGAATCGTTTGAAGAAAATTCAAAAAAATCACGAAGTAAATTCATTTGATTAATAATATCTAAACTTGTTTTACTTTTGTAGTTTAATGAAGATCAATTAGTAAATTCTTTAGAAAATTTGTCGAATGATCTCTTTTATGAAATATATGATTATCTTGAAGGTTTGGATATTTGTGTAGCATTTTCAAATCTTAATGCTCGTTTTCAACAATTAATTACATGTTCAACGAACCGATATAAAATAATTCTTAATTATTCAACAACACAAAAATTATTTTGGAATTATTCAAAGGAAATCAAACATCAAATTTATTCAATTTCCTTTCAATCACCAAAAACTTCTATAAATGAATTTTTTCCAATTGATTATTCATATAATAATCTTCAATCAATATTTATTGAAGATATTAAAAAAAATCAACTTATATCATTACTTAATCATTTACGTGATTTACCTTGTCTTTTCGTATTAAATATCAATTCCAATATCAAATAATCAACAATTAAGTCCTATTACATATCTCCAGATCGCTCATTCGTATACATTTGATGAACTATCTGCATTACTATCTTATACACCTTCACTTCGTCATCTTAATCTTTCACATTCAAATAAATACGATTCAGATATCGAAGATATTTCATCAATGAATTTGAATGAACTCATTCATTTATCGATATTTTCAAGTGAT